CCCCCCCCCCCCCCCCCCCCCCCCGCCTCTCGCCTGCTCGTGCTCTGTCTCTGTCTCTGTCTCTCTCTCTCAAAATAAATACATAAATACTGAAAAAAATTTTAAATATAAAATATGCATAATAAGAGGACGTACCTCTTGAGGCAGTTGAGAGGCTGAAATAAAATCTACATATCTGTGAGGACTTGCGTATCTAGCACTGTTTGCCATAAATGTTAACTATTCGTGTCCACCCTCTGTGTGTACCACTGAGGTGACACTACCTCTGCCGAATGGTTTGGGTAGCTCAGACCCTCCAGTGTTTGGGGCCTGCCTCCTCTTCTTGCCCCCTCTTGACCACCCCATTTGCTGGGCTGGCCCACCTGGAGTTGTGGTTCAGTTCCTGGGAGATGTCATCAACCATGTCATTCTCAGACGCCTCGTGAGCCATGGCTTTGCAGAGCTTGCAGGCCACCAGGGCCTTGGCCATGGCCTCCTCGCCGTGCTGCCAGAAGAACAGGGCCATCTTCTGCCTCTTCATCAGGACGGCCCACACCATCAGCTCATGGAAAGGGAAAGGGAAGTGGTTGATCTCAGGGTCGTCCAAGTCAATGTCAACCTCTTCTTCTCGCTTCTTGGTTGTCTTTCTTCCTCGCCTCAAGGGAACATCATCCTGTCATTTTAGGGAAAAAAACAGAGGTGGAGTGAGAAATGAGTCAACTAAATATATCATATGGTTGTTTACTGTATATGTACTATGGAACCTGCTCTGGGATTGATACAGAATGAACTAGCCTTTCCCAGCACCTATCCCAGAAGCACTCATTCCTAACTTTAAAACAAGATCAGCCCTATGGGAACATGTCAGTGTTGTACTTCAACTTTTAGTAAGTATTTTTCAGTGGGTATTTTTCAATTTCCCTTCCTTCCTTCCTTCCTTTACTTTTGTCCATTTTTTTTTCCCCTACGTGTAAGGTTATTTGTGCCTCATGATGGACAGCACTACCCTTTTCTCTGAAAGGACAAAGACATCCTATACTTGCAGGTGCCTAAGCCACAATACCCACATGAACAAAAGCTGGGAAACAGATAATCTATCTCGAGTTTCTATATACCTCTCAGGTGCATTTGTGAAGTATTTCTGGCCTTTGGATCAGTTGCCATTTGTAAACACCCATGAATAGATTTCATTTACTGGAATTTATATGCTTCCTTGGTTATCGAGTTAGTATTTCAAATACGATTTATTTTCTTGCTAATGTAACCTCAGGGTGGAATTTTCAAAGCTACTATGACTTGCCCTCTCAACACTGGGAAAAAGTCCACTTCCTTATTTTAGAATCATGTACTAAGCCTTACCAATTGAATGAATATATATATGTCAATTATTTATATATATGTATATATATATAGTATATGAATGTATATGAATGAATATATATAAAGAATATATGAATGAATATTTATGAATATATTAATGAATAATGAATATATATACATATATATAAATAATTGACATTAATAATTTGGGCAAATACTCACCTCCATTCCCAGTAGTTTCAAGGCTTTGGGCTGTTTAAAAAAATGTTATACATAAAGTTAGATCTTTCTTTATACAGGTAAGAAAAGAATCCTATTATATCTTAACCAGGTAATAGAACATCTCTATGGTACCACATAGCATTTATTCATTTCACTAAATAAAATGCTACAAGAGGAACCTATTTATAGAAATTCTAGAATTAGGGATTTAGTGATTTTAGTGAATCACAGAAAATTAGATATCTAGAGGGGCACAATGAGATTGCCCCAGGGTAGAGCCTGCAGATTTATAATCTCTTTCATGGACCAAAATTTCTTCCATCTTCCTAGAACCATCTTATTTAGCCGACATCTCCATGATCTCAGGCACTTGGGTAAGCCATGAAATGTTCACTCAAACCATGAGATGTTTCTCAAACCTCTGAAATACCTCTGTTACCTGGAGACTTGGAATATTACTCAGAATATATGTTCAGATACTTCATGTCGCCTATGCAGCTGTCCGGTAGAGCAAAGGGTCATGGGACCACAAGGGCATGTGCCGATGGTAGCAAAAGGTGCTCAGTGGTGTGGAAAGTGCCAGCACATACTGTAGCATCAACGGTCACGCTGGGAATGTGCAAAATAGCCACAGGCCATGACGGAGAGAGAAGACAACTCAGCAGATTACAGCCCTTGATTTATATCTAATGAGGGGAGGCACAAAATTACATCTCAGGGGTCAGGGATTCCCATTCTGTGTTAAATGTTACAGAATGGTTGAGTGCTCTCTTGAAAGTTGAGTAAAATAGTAAGGTCGCAGCCCTTACCATTCCTCCAAATTTGATTTGACCACTCAAGTAGGAATAGCTTGGACCTTGCCTCTCTCCGTTTCTTTCCTTTTAGCTTCTGAAATGCCCAGCAGTTTGAAATTTGTGTGATTTTTTTTCTTATTTATACTTCCTGGTGTTTTCAAAGTGGCCTCGTAGCACCACAAAATACTTTCAAAATCAGAAGATAAGCCTCGTTAAAAATAAAAATCATGCCAACCACCAGCTAGTGTAACAGCTCTCCAAATGCGGTCCAGGAACCCTGTGATATCTGGGTCTCTGTGGAGTCAAAGGTGTTTTCCTATTAATACTAAGATGTTACTTGTCTTTGACACTGTGTTAACATTTGCAATGATGGCATAAAAGAATGGTGAATAAAACTGCAGGGTGGGGGGGGGGTGGCAGGAATGAAGGCAGTGGCACCAAACTTTACTAGCGGTCATTAGGTTCCATTGTTATGCACTTGAAGTTTAAAAACAAACAAAAATCCAGTTTTTACTTAAGAAGCCCTTGATGAAGCCTAAAAAAATATTAACTTTATTAAATCTCTATCTTCGATGCTAAAGAAATGTCTTTTCAGGGTTTTGAGGGACGAAATGGCAAGTATGGGTTAAGCGCTTTCCTTACATACTGAGCTATGATGGGTTGTCCTGAGGACAAACACGCAGTTCCTTGGCTTGTGGCCACATTGTTTCATGCACTGTCTGCTGGAAGGAATGACTGCCAGACAAACTATGTTTATTTAGTCTTGGACATTTGGCAGATATTTTTGGAAATGGCCGAAGTGGGGCTATTGTTTCAAGGAAAGTAACTGATGGTATTTGTTGCCAATGGCAAAATTCAAAATTTTCCAAGCAGCAATTAGAAAAAAAGGAGAATTTTTGAAAACTTGTATATCCTTCCCCCCATGACCTTGACAGTTTTTCAGAAGTTAAAGACTTTTCTGACAAGATTGGAAGGGATATTAATGAATGTGAGTTTTTGAAATTGTTTAATGAAATGTGTCAACAGTGAGATCTGTGTAACTCAGCAAACCAATATTTTACAATCCTTGATGTTACAAGATCCATGCAAAGTGTAAGATCAACCAATGAATTTTAAAGTAACAGAGTATAAAAAGTTCACTGAAGCTATTTCAGATTTCGTGTTGCAACTAATCTTTAAGAAACTGCCACTTGTGGGGTGCCTGGGTGGCTCAGTCGGTTAAGCCTCTGGCTTTGGGTCAGGTCATGATCTCATGGTTCATAAGTTCAAGCCCAGCGTCTGTGCTGACAGCTGGATCCTGCTTCAGATTCTGTCTTCCTCTATCTCTGCCCTCCCCTGCTTGAGCTCTATCTCTTTCTGTCTCTCAAAAGTAAATAAAATTAAAAAAAAAAAAAACAACAAAAAAACTGCCACTTGTTGAGTTTTGATGTATGTAACTTCAAAAAAGAATATCTATAATTATCTGTAAAGATTATTAAAATGCTCCTTCTCTCTCTCTCTCTCTCTCTCTGTCTCTATGTATATACTTGTCATATTTGTTACATGTCTGTATGAAGTCAGCTTTTCTTTGTATATTTCAACCAAAACATCTGGCAACAGACTGAATGCACAGGTAGATATGAGAATGTAGCTGTCTTCTATTAAGCCAGATATTACAGAAATATGCAAAAAGGGTACAACAATGCTACTCTTATCACAAAAATCGTTATTTTTCATAAATACATTATTTATGCTAACATCTAATGGGCTTCTTATGGTTAACTTAAAATGAATTAATATTAACTATTAATGAATAAATATTTTTAAGTCTTTACTTTCTAACATGATAATACCCATAGATAGAACTCCCATACATAAGAGCTTTTGGGGGTCCAGGGGTCCTCAATAATTTTTAAAGGTATAAATAACCCCAAGACCAAAAACCTTGAAAACCACTGAGGTAGATAAGATTAATTTGACTTTCATTATTCCCTGATCATTAAGGCTCACTCCCAGTTGCCAGTTTCTTATTTTAATTGGACCTTCTGGGGAAGAGAAAGGAGTGTATCAACCAAAACATTGCCTTTTTTTCTTTCCTCCTTTTGAAGGATTTGGGAGGGAGGAAGAAGTGGGTAGACCAGTTGCCTTCTTATCTGAGATGCTCCTTGGAGATAACGAAGCCACACCCCACATATGTCGTGCCCTAGTACTCCCAGGAGTCCAGAAGAGGAAACTTGCTGCAAAACTCACCCTCTTGGGGCCAAAGAGATTGTGGTAGAGCGTCCGGAAGCGCTTGCGCGTGTAGTTGCAGCGATAAGCCCCGCCCATCAGGTACTCGATCACCAGGCCGATGTCAATCAGGCTGATTCTATAGTCTGGGGGCAGGTTCCCCTATCAGGGAAGAAGGAAAACACACACACAAACACATCCAAAAGACAGCGTGGTTTACTAGGGATTCTATGCCATGTGTTCTGTAACTATTTTAGAGTAAAAAAAAATAATTAAAAAAGAAACATATGAATGTATTATTATGCTGGTTAATTAATTCACCTTAAAATAGATCCAACCGAAACCTGGATATTCTCGCTTGGAAAGAAGACATAAGTTAAATAAGAAGATGCAGTAATCGTCGGCAATAACAGAAAATCAAAATATTTATTCAAGTCTTCAGCTGGGGAGAAAAAAACACCAGTGTAGCAGAAAGAAACACAAGGCTTGACATGGCAAATGCTACGAGTCCTAGTCGCTAGCAACTCCTTTCCCCCAGATGTTCTCCGGGCCCCCTGCGCTGCTCTGCCTCTGGCCCAGGCTTGTTACCTCTCTCTTGCTGACCTCTTCATGCTCACTAAATGAAGACTCCTTCCAGAAGATGGTTGTTATTACCAGGGCCTGCATCAGGTGGACTCTGCTCAGAGTTCAGATCTCCCTTGGGAAGACCTCTATTAACAATGAAACAAATTTGGCACCTTTTTCACAGGAGGAGAGCAGATGGATGTCAGGATGAAGTCATTTAGGAGCACCGCTGGTGGTTATTAAGAGAAACACAGTGGCATCAGAAGAGATTCTATCAAGGGAATATTTATTTTCCCAGAATTAAGCAGATTTTGGATATTTTCTTTCAAAGAGTGCTTCTTATGGGGTAAGTTTCAGCTGCTTGCATATATAGGTGCGAAAACACAAGAGGTTTTACCGTTGTCTACTCATTACTGGCTTCTACACCTAAAAGGTGCTCTATAGGGTCTAAGGAAAGATACTGGCTCTGCTAGGTCAAGGAAGGATTAATTCCATTTGTGGGAAGTTCTGAGCACACAGTGAGTTTCAAAGGGTGTGATTAATTAATTCACTGTCTGGTTTATTTCCTTGATGCAAAAGTATGCCCTATACCATGAATGGCAAGGGTACCACACTATGTAGGGAGCCGTTGCACTATGCCCTTGGATATATATAGGAGAAGCACGAGGGCTTTGTCTACTTTTGTCCTTAATGGAGGACTCACTCCAGATGCTGTGTGAGATTTGGTGGTGGTTATTCAATTTCGGTGGCATCAGAACCACCTGGGAAACTTGGTGACAGTACAAAGGCCTGGCCCCTGTCCTGCTTCAATGTATGGGCCTCTACATGATTTATTAGCTCTCCAGGTGATTCTGATATACACCAAAGTTTGTGGAATCGCTGTTCTAGTAACAAAGGTTCAGGTGGGCTCACATGACAAAATCGGAAAATTTACAGTGTATAGTCATCATAAGGAAATCAGCTTAAATTGTTTTGCTAACTGAGGGTAGGTTTTCAGTTATGCTTCCTCAGCTTTGCTATGGTCAACAGCATACATTTGCAAGGGGTTCAGGGTTAGAGGTGGCCCACTGTATCCTCCCTATCAAACCCATAGCCTTAATTGCTTTATTGATCTTTGTATCCCCAGTGCCTTTTATAGTGGCTGGTGTGTGGTAGGCATTCAGAATCTTTGCTGGTAAGAATGTGAATGAGTAAAACAGTGAAATTAATGGATGTGGTTGGGATCAAGTCTCAGTTTCAGGTTTTTCAGTACTGTGTTCTTGTCAGTATCGGAACTAACTGGCCACAGTCTGTGAGTCATCCTGTTTGGGATAGCCCCGTATCACCGTGGAAACCGACTTGAAATACGCCTATCGCTCCATTGGTGTTCTCAGTGGAATAGGAACGAGAAGGAATGAACGGAGAGCAAATGAAGCAGCAGCCTAAGCACAGGAGATCCTGGTGCTGCTCTTTAGACTCCCTTGCCGCCCCCGACCCTTCCTAGCCCTGCCCATCAAGCTCCACCTCTCCCTTGGCTTGGGGCACAAAGCAGGCTTGGGGACCCAATTTGAGGCAGCTGAGCAAAGCCATCCCACTTGCGGTGGAAGCACTTTGTGTTACATCCTTGACCTTGGCTCATCAGAATCCCAACCAAAATGTCCCTTCCTAAAGATGGTCTTATTGTCCTCCCCAACCATTCTCAGAATTTCGGAATCTCCTCTGAGGACTCTCTCATGAATCTGCCTGTGTTGGCAAGTTAAGCTATCCTCAGGTGGTCAGACAAGACCAAGTATCTGACTTCTTTATGCAAAGCATGGCAAAAACAGAGAAAAGGGAACTTTGAGGAAGTCTTTAGATAGTAACTTTTCATGCACTGCCCTTTCCATAAACATGAAACTGAGTTTACAAATATTACTCATGCAACCACTTTTCTCCATTGTTTTGGGACTGCTTAACAAGGCTGTGGGTTTCTGGATCGTCAGCTGTAGCTGACAGTTAGACAGGCCTGTTATTTCAAGAGTCAAAGAACCCCAAAGTCTGGACCCTTCTGGGTCTGCCTCATCTCATCTGCGTCTACAAAGATGACCCACAGAAGAGGCCCCGCATATGTGTTATTTTCCTGGGCACTGTGAGGCAGGCAGGGTGGAGAATCCTGGCTGTGAATCAACTGCCTTGGGCTTCTTTCTGTCTGTCCTTCGTAAATCAACTGGTTTCCCTCAAGGCTTCCCTGTAGAATGGGTGCAACTCTATGGCTCCTATGGTCTCTATATAATACTTGAGTCCCAGGGTTCAGAAAATTCCCTAAAAGATTTTGTGTGATGCTACTGAAAAGCAATCATAGCAAGTCGATGAATTTGTGCCCTATTTTTAATCCTGTAAGAATTCTCTAAATTTGAATCATGAGTAACAGCAAACCTAACACCTATGTATATTTTCTTTTGAGAAACCTATGTGTGAACATCAGTTTGAATTCTAAGAATGAGACACAAATATTGCCTGAAGTGAGTGGCAATAATTATGCTTTTGAATTGTCTAGAAGAGTGGGGGGTTATCAGGAAAGGGATCGTGGTAAAATTCAATAAAAATTTGAGACGGGCCAGTAAAACATTTTTTGCAAATTATTTTATTCACAAAGGGCTACTAGGTTTATATACAACAAAAGAAAGTGCTGGAGTCTTTTTTTTTTTTTTTTTTTTGTAGGCACTTCTCATATAAATCTTTATTATTTTCAAGTGATTTAAATGTGATCCGGTCTGAAGTAGGAGAAAGGATTTAGTGAGCCTTCTGGGTTCTGCTTAGCTTTGAGCCAACGCCTTAAAGGAATTGGCCTGCATTTCTGTTTGACCACAAGGGGGCGATGTTCACCTAACCGAAGCTGGTGAGGGTTCCACCAGCATTTAGGTGCCTGTTCTGTTTTACATGGGTAATAAGGCGATGCAAATGAAAACAGCAGATTGGAGGATTTAGAAATAAGGAGAGTCAGATGCCCTTGTTAAAGTGATATCTGGAGGAGGGAGAGCTTACTTTACCAAGTAATGTGTCTGAAAGCCTGCAAGACTGATTGCATCTGTCCTCATCGCCCCCTCCCCCACCAGCACCGAGGCCTGGAAAGCAGAGAAATTAAGGGAAATTAGTTTCACAATTTCTACTAGGAAGAATGGAAACCTTTTGGGGAAGAAGAAATAGGTTTCATATAATTTGTAGAATCGGGTGCAATTTCGGCCTCTTGCGACATATCTGTGCTGGGTGAACTTTGAGGGGGCTGGTAACATTGGGGCATGTCTGAGGTGCTGTGCCGATGGCCGTGGCCACCTGTGACCTCAGATGTCACAGATGCAGAGAACACCCAGCGTATGACCCGGCAGTGGAAATAGCGCTGGGCTAGCACGGTGGCCCTAGCTGTGCCTCTCTGTGAACGTGAGGAGATCACTTCCTTCCTCTGTTCCTCAGTTTACACTCTGAAAACAGGCACTTGGGACAGAGTTACTTCTAAGGTCCCGCCTATTTCTAGAGGTCCGATTGTCTGACCACTGCCTGGCAGGCTGCTCTTTTTTTTCTATGCTGCTAGGTCACTGCGCAAAGATTCTTGTCCAGAACTCGCACCGTTGATGGGGTTTCCACTAATCGCCCCTGAAATCTGGTTAGTGGAACTGGGAGCCCAGAGACAGGCATGGTGTTGTGCTTATCACATCCACCTCCTCTGGAAAAAGCAGAGAACGTGAACGGCACCTCATATACCGCAGGTAATGTCCAAAAACCTTCTGGAGGAGTCTTCCTATGCTTGGATGCTTTTCAAATAGGAATTCAAGAATGATACTGGAATAATGCCCCTTTGGTCTGTTGTTTCTATTAGTCTCTCCTCCCTTTTTTGGTATTTACTTTGGCAATTGGTAATGCCTGCACACTTATGTCCCATTTCATGCCTTACCAGCACGCGGCAAGCTGTGTGACTCAAATACTTTGATCCACAGAGTGAAACAGAGAAGCTTGGCTTCATTGGTAGGTACCATCTGACAACTTGAAAACATTGTCTCTCTTTCTCAAGCCATGAGCCGCTACTCTGAAATTTTCATCCATGCCCTCCTAAAGGTGACTTTTAATTAAAAGAATAGTTTAAATGCATGTATTAGATCGGCTCTTGTAAATAAAATCTTTTTCAGAAGTCAGCTCATGACGTTCACCATCAGATTTCAGCTGTTTGGGAAACACATTTCGTGGAAACTTATAACAAGCCTTCAAAACGGGCTTGTTTCCTTCTAATGTACGTCGGGTATCAAATGGTTGCTGGTTGTCAGGTTTACCAAGGAAGAGGGGAGAAAAGACTACTCTGGCAAAAGTTCATGGACAAAGAGGACAGTCCCACAATAGTTGGCATGGTTATAGACCGAGCAACCCTTTATTTTATTTCTTTAAGTCTTATTTATTTAAGTAGTCTCTATACTGAGTGTGGGGCTTGAACTCACAACCCTGAGATCAAGAGTCACATGCTCTTCCAACTGAGCCAGCCAGGTGCCCCTAGAGCAGGCAGCCTTTAAAAAATTAAAAATGCTTTTGGAAATCTGCATGAATTTGGCTGATGGGATTATGAAAATGTCCTTTCTTTACCTAACGAGGGTCTGAAATACTTTTCTCCCACCTCTCCATTCTGCAAAGCCCTGTCTTAATTCCCATGTGAATGAATTTTAAGCTATCATAATTTCACAACTACTTCTATATAATACTCCGATATCACCCCCCCCCCCC